CGCTCCCCACACCAATGACCCACATTCTTCAAAGTGTATATCATTTTAAAAATGAAAAAAAAAAAAAAAAATTTTAAATGTTGAAAAGTTTTGAGGTATGCTTATGAGCCCTACAGATTCAAATGCTTAAAAGAGCAAAAATAAAATATGGTGTTAGAAAAAAAATTGTTTCAATATTATTTATCTGTCCATGTCATGGTTCATAGTTAATTCAGCATTTTTTTGCCACCAAAACAAAAAACATGATCCAAGATGCACTAGTTGGGGGGCACTAGTGTGTGGAGAGGAGAGGCTCATCATAAATTCATAATGTAAAACTTTTAAAAATATGAGTGCGCAATATTTCATTGAAATTGGTACTAAACACAATTTTTTTACAATATGTATTTAAATAAAAATAAATATATATTTATGCACACACAAACACAAGAAGTTCCAATCAAACATGAAATAAAATATCAACATGGTAAAATTGATGGTATTGATTCCAAATTTTGTGATTAAGGGAAAGTAATACTCATCAAAGGGAAGCGTTACTATGTGAAGGGGAAATTTTAAAAAGCGACAAAAATTGTAATTCACTTTAAACACATCCATTAAATATTTTTTTTCTTAATTTGGTACACAAAAAAGGAACAGTCCTATTAAAGCCTGAAATATGGAAATAAAATAAATGCACTAATGTTCTATAAATATTGTTAGGATTGATGAGACAAAATACTATTATCAACAACGTCTGTACAAAATAGTCGTGTACAACTTTGACATGAATCACAGGACAAGGACAGGCACAAGAGGACCCTCAGCTGGATCACATCTAAAAAACAATATTCATCGTAATAAAACTGAGTATTGATATTCTTGTTAAAGGGGAAAAAAACATTTGATGCTGCTTAATCTGTTTAAAAAATGTGTTGATTGCACATAGTTAACTAAGCTTAAATTTAAAGCTACAAGTTGGAAATAATAAGTAAAGCTGTGAAGACGACAAATGCAAATACATCAATAAAAAATTTTGTCTGTAAATAAGAAGTTTCAGTTTTCATCCACAGAACATTTATCAATGTAAAGAGTTCATTACCACTCTTAGTGGCAAGTTGGATTTTAAGTGGGGCACAGAACTTAATAACTACGCAGAGTACCGTAGTATGAAGAAAGAGGATTACAAAAAAAGGTGTTTAGGTGATAGGCTTCATTTAATGAATTCTTAATCAGAGTTCTAATTTTTTTTTTCAATTGCCACATGTCCACAGAGCCATCATGTGACGTTTTGAAGCAGCCTGCCACTTTTGGGGATGAAGCGTGATTTTGAAATAATCTTTATTATTATTATTTAGCTAATCTATCCACTTTGAAATGTTTCTCCACATCACAACTTTGGGCCCCTTAAGTATCTGAGGCATCCTGCAGCAAGAGGGGATGCAGGGCCCCACATGGCATCTCTGATTGTCCAACACTGGTAGAGGCTCCTGGTCTTTAATTGACTCTAAATGTTAGCAATGTTGATTGATGTCTGATGCATCATTATGAAATCTCCTACAAGCAGCAGCCCCCCCCCCCCCCCCCCAACCAAACATCCCCTCACCTATGTTTTTTTTCCTTTGAATTTTGTTAGCCCATTAAATTAATGATATTATATGCTGCACATAAAATAATATCTTAATTACTTAATTGTTTTAAGTCAGCAATGTTGGTCACATGGAACACCTTCCATTTTTTTTATTGTAGTTTGTCCCCTGGATCACCCAATTTTGTATTAAAAAAAACAAAAAACTCTTATACTGGAGATTTATTTAGTTTAAAAAACTAAACCTTTGCCAGCAGAACTAAAAAAAGACATTAAATAACCCATGGTCACACAAGGCTGGTGGATCCCTAACTGCATCTACTCATTGTTCACCTAATGCAGAAGATCAATAAAAATTTACAGGGAAAATGAATAATTTATTTTTCAAAAATCGTAATACATTTTTATGCTTCCCTTTTGTTATATTTATAAATTAAGTCCTTGATCAAATGCAAAAAAAAAAAAAAAAAAAAAAAAAAAGGAAAAAAAAAAATAAATATAAAAAAAAAAAAAAAAGAAAAAACAAAAAAACAAAAAAAAATAAAAAATAAAAACCATAAAAAAAAAAAAAAAAAAAAAAAAAAAATGGAGAGTAGGAAAAACAAAACTAAATTTTATTAAAAATACAAGAGCAAAACCAAACACACAAAAAAAGATTTGAAATAATAATTTGGTTTGTATAAATTCTGTAAACCTCAGAACTTGGTAAAAGTGGATGAAGTTGTTACCTATGGCCAAAGCGTAATAATGAAAATTGAGAATCTTCAAAACTCAATAAAAACAAAATATGGGCAGTGAATTTAATTCTTAAAGCATAATTTTTATGGCATACACTGAATGTGTCAAGTTAAGAGCAGGAAAATGACAGTTTGATGTATGACTTGGACAAACAAAGACAAGAGACCTGATTTTATATATATATATATTTTTTTTTTAAAAAGAAAACAAGCTTTGAGGGGTTGTTGAATAAAAATGATCATTTTCAATTACAACTGTCGATTTGTTAAAAAAAGAAAGAAAATTAAACCCACAGACACCTAGAATTATTCTAAATGATATTTTTTTAGAAATCCATTTTGAAAGGTTCTGACAAAGTGTCAGTGTGGTTTTTTGGATGCTTAGAAAAGACTAAGTGACAAAATTTTTAATTATCTTTGACCAATGTTTTCTATTTTTTTAAGTATAAAACATATAAAGTGATTTGCATTAATTTCAGCTTACATTAGCCACAATGTTACTAAAATGTCCTTGTTATTGCTTTGAATAACGTTAAAAAGCTTACAAGATCTAAGAGTGATAAGGTTAAGTAGAGCTGGACCAAAAAGCAATGCAAGACTGGAGACCTGTATTTGAGCTCAATATAGGTTGAAATTTTTAATGTGATTATAGGTTGAAAATTTTAACATGCTATTTTACAGAAAACATCCATTGAAAAGCAAATAACTAAAGATATTAGTCAAAGGATTCAAAACAGTATCACTTCAGTAAAAGAAATGGTGTCTTTGAGTGAGCTCAAATGAAGATGACATTAAAACACCTGATATTAGAGAAATCAGACTTTGAAAAAACAAGTTGCTTACAATGATTAGTTATAAGATTTAAACAGTATCACTTCAGTAAATAAGGCATCCAATAAAGCATAAAGAATCACTTTCACTTAACTAATTTATCATCAGTCAAGATAACATTGAAACAAAAAGAGGGGTCGGGGTGGGATGGGGATGATGCACTGAAAATTCCTCACTGTGTTATTTTGTGCACAGCGAATACAAAGTCCTGATATATAAATCATGTTATGGCCGATTAGTTAGTTAAAGAAGCTTTTACATAGGCCAGGTTAGATTCCAGTGTCATATACAAGCTTTGTGAAAAGACTTATAGATCACAATATGATTTTAAACACTTATAAATGCCATAAATAAGTTTTAAACAATTAATTAATGCAGTAACTATAATCATTATCATTTAATAAAAATTTAAAGAAAAAAAATTTAAGAAAGAACAAAGCCTATATAGTTTGTTTGAAAAAAATTAAATTTGTCCGAAATTCGTTAAAACCTAATACCATGACAAGACCGAGGCTAATGTATAAATAATAAATAGGTCATATTTATTTAGATAACATCAACATAAGGAAATTATATTATTTTAAAGTGTGATGGCACACCTCTGTCATACAGGTTTGACATAATTAAGCATTATTTAAAAGAGCGAATATTAAGGGAGATGAGCAACATCACAATAAAACATGTTACATAAAAGATTTGAAGGTATGTGCCCCCTTTTCAATCTGTACATATAGTTATAGGCAGGAATTGAACTAAATGAAATATTTCTTATGTCAAGAATGGTAGGATCCTAACCCATTCTATCAACACTTAATGATTATGTACTTTTGAGTAAAAACAATTATAAACACAACAGTGTAAGAAAGAAAAAAAATTTCTCTTTGAAGATTGCATTATGTCATCTCAGTCATTAAAATTTATGAAATCCAACTGGAAAAAAAAACAACAGAAAGACGTCTTAATAAAAAATAAAAAAAGTCTTTTAACTCACATTAAATAAAATAATATTTTAAAATAATGTGACGAGAGAATTTTTTTAAAACAGCAGCAACACCACATTCATGAATTCTTCTTTGTACAGAACCATGCCAAGATATGTCCAAGATAATGTCAGTCATGTCATGTGACTTATCACATTAACAACAAGATGTTAAGAACTGTAAATATTGACAAAGGATATGCAGAAAGTAATCAGAAATCTTGAAGTTGTCTCCCTTGATCATTAAACAACACTTTCTCTTTATTTTGGTTACCTTTGCAACCATAATTTACTTCCAGGAAATCATTGGATATCTATGACTTTTGTTTTGCTACCATTGACAGCAACAACAAAATATTAATGTAGTGCCAGTGCAATTAAGAAATATTGCGTTCAAGCTAATGCAAAGCCAAAATTAAGTAATCGCATGTGCACAAAAAGTTTAGGTTCCCCAAAAGGATAACCTCTTTAATGAAATTTTCAAGAATTAAAGTCTCCCCAAATACAAGTTAATAAAGTGTTCTTTTCCTCTAATAGGTGAAATTACCAGCTGAAAACTTTGAAATGTATCAAGATATCCATTGATTGTCAACAATCAAACATATTGACAGCTTTTTAATTTAAATACCCGTAGCATTCTTAATAATAAAATGTGCACAGCGTCTTTGAATGTGCTCCATCTAGTCCAATGTACACTATGTTACAGTATTTATACGACAACGACGCGGCATCACATAGTTTTGATACAGCGTTACCTTTTACAATTACGGCTTTTGCCATTTTAAGAAAAAATGAACTGAATGAATGAAGGCAAATTATTAAGCCAATCAATCAGATAAAAAATATCAACAGCAGAAACCATTTTAAAATTAAATTACTAGATTGTCAAGTTACTGTCAAAATTTGAAGCCCTAGAAAAAAATACAATAACTTAAAAGTTTTTTTTGAATGCAATAAATAAATGTATACTTAGGGTCATCACATTCTGAACATGTCAGTTAACTCCCTTTAATAAAAAAATAATAATAATTGGTTTAAATTTTATTGTTGAGACTGTGCTCCCTATTCGACTCAGACTGTGCTCTCTATTTTACTGCCTTTCTTTGTGCCATTAACTTCATCTATAATAACAGAACTGGCAAGCTCCAAATTCCAGTCCAGGGTCTCCAAAAGTCTGTGGCATGCTGCCCGTGGGGCCACACCCAAGCGGAAAAGCTGCTCTACTTTTAAGTACTTGACAGCGCTTTCAACATCCCAGTGCGTAGTGGAGAGTGCCGTGTAACATTCATCATCTGTTACCCCGATGACTCGGCTCTGGACGATGGCGATACGATCACGTGGAGAGGAGCCCATGAAACTGCCCCTTTCCTCCTCTACCTTAGATTTTCTCTGGGACTGTATGGGGCGAGCCTTTGATGGTGAGGAGAGTCCGGGTCGGTGCTGGTGGTAGTGGTGGCGTGGAGACGAGTCCACTGAGCCGCAGCTGCCAGCACTGGACCGTGAAGACGAGTTTGACACATTTGACAGTGACCTTTGTATAACATCGCCACTCATGAGTCCTGTGATGTTCTGGTAGTCTATTGCACTGCTCCGCTCATCGCTGTTGTCAAAAGCAGTGTTAACTAAAAACGGCTTGACAGTGGCTGTGGTTCGCTGTGATTTCTCACGCTTGTAGTGCGATGACGATTCATTCTCATTGATTGATGGGATCAGGAAGTAATGGGTGTGGCTCAGCTGGTGGCCGTCTTGTTTTAAAGGAAGAATGTATGGTTTCTCCGAAGACGTTTTAACGCGGCTGACATTTGCATTGGTTTGGTACGTTCGCGGGGGTAAAGGCGGGGGTTTGTTTTGAGTAGGTTGAGCTTCTTGGACTTTTGAGTCCTTGATGGGTTGCTCATCAAAGTCATCATCAAAGTCATCATCAAACTCGTCGCCCCAGGTTGCATCACTGAAGGCAGAGCTGTAATTGTAATGTTCCCCCGAGGTTTTCATTTCTCCACCGCAACCATTACCCTGATCACCGGCGAATGCAGCCATTTTGTCCCTGTAAATAGCCTGCTGATTGCTCATATTGGAATAATAGCTTGTCTGCTCTTCTTTTGGCACTTCATCATAGTTGGGAAGGCGGGATGTTTTGAATACTGAGCCCCCCTTAGAGACCTCACCACCGTTGACCTTGTCTGTATTACCATCAAGACTTTCATTTGGAACTGAATCGTACAGTGGAGGAAATGAATCCGATTTAGGGCGCACTCCTGGAGATTGAGCTTTCTTGCTCATATCGCCAACGACTTGGAAGTCCTTACCCAGAATTCTCTGAGACTGAATGGTAAGATTGCTTTTCAGAGCCTCATTGAGCCAATCGAAAGCCTTCTCGGTTTTGACCTTGTCGGGGTCCTGCTGTGGGGTGGGCAGGCTTGTGATGGCCGTAGGTTTGAGGACGCTGTGTGATGAGGTGTACTGGGGGAGAAAAGGATTTCTGGGTGATGGCTGGTTGGCCTTGGACTCAGTCAACACCCTCGTCTGTGGAGTTTGTTGTGGTGGCAGGTTCACCGACTGACTCCGGGAATAGGTCGAGCTGACCTGCACCACATTTTGCAAATGTTCTCGAAAGACAGGATCCAGGCCTGCGGCTTGTTGGATCTTTATGTTCTTATCCTTGTCTTTCAGACTTCCGTTTGATGGCAGTGTTCTTGCATGTGTCGGGGATGGAAATTTTTGATTTTGAGAGACTAGCGAGTGGGGGGCTGCCACCCCAGATACAGGTCGGTACTGAGGCTCTTCAACAGGTGGCTCACAGTACAAAATCCCACCTGAATCAACAGGGGGCTCACAGTATAAGAGCCCACCTGTGTTGCTTTGGGAACTGGGTGTTGAGCTTTTCGACCTGTCTGATGTTGGAGCACCGGGATTTTTCATAAACTGTCCAACAGGAGATGGCCTGGCAACGACGGAGGAGGAGTTCTCTTTGTTCCGTTGGTTGGTGTCTCCAAAAGCGGGGCTAATTGGCAGTGTTGGAACAGACGGCTTCAGCTGTTGCAGGAGGTGGCTGGGATTGCCTTGAAAGGATGGAGGAGGGAACGTACCAGAGGAGGTAAATCCAGAGGTGATTTCAGAATCTGATCCAAATCCTGATGAAGAAGTCAGACTGTCCTTTTTGGTGGTGGTGCCGCCGCTCCAATTGATGGTACCGTTATTTGGCAGGATGTGGAACCGAGCATTCACATCAAACGGGTCAGGTTGTGTGGTGTTAAAATGTGATGCTGGAGCTTCGACATTTCCATAGCGGGCTTCGTTGGAGGAACAGAGGGAGTCGAATATGTCAAGATCAGATGGCCGTTGTTTGCCTCCCACTGGATTTGTTTCTTGGGGCGAGATGGTCAGGTCAATCAAGAGAGCGTCAGGGGGTGGCTTGGGGTCTGCTTTGGTGTCCCCACTGTAACAAAAGTGTCAAATTAAAGAAAGTCATTTGTAGTTTTAACATAAAAACAAGTGTTAAAAAAGAAAAATTTACTAAACATTGTGAAAACCATAGTTAAATTAATTTTTTTTTTTATTATAGAACTCTATTTTAAGCACTTTCTTGCACAAATGCGGGCATACATAGACAGACTGTACATCTCTAAAACTCCACTACCCGATTCCAGAAACCACTAAAAGGTGATATACCTGAGGTTCGTTAGTGAAGGTGAGCTGTTTTTGTCGGAGTCGGGTCCTGTTGGCCGTTTCGATTGCGGCTTCTTAACATTTGAGCCTGGTTGTGACTGCTGTCGTTGTCGGGATGGTTCGGAGTTGGACCTCTTGGGCTCGTATTCACCTTTCAATTTGCTGTAGTTGAACTGGAAACTGCTTGATTGAACTGCGAAAACAAGACACCAGATATTGAAATCATCATGGCTAGAAGAAAGAAATCATCCATAAAATAAGAATAAGTGTGGAATTAATGCTGAGAGAATACAATGAACGTCGAGACAGCTGCACAAAGCTTCCTGTGGCCATCCCCACAGGCACACGCTTCGACTGATGCTGAAAACACACTGAATGGGCATTTCTCTTATGTCTCAGGACTCAAGAACATACACAGCCCAAAGTTATCCTGACCAGAGACGATTCAACTAACGCCTTGCAGCTTGCAGCAGACCAGTTCAAAGGAATGAAAAAAGCTCAGAGACTTTCAATACTGAAAACAATGTGCTGTGCAATTAAAACAAATTTACATTTGGATTTAAAAAATCATCTTATGTTATCTTTGCTTGTGCTGGGACACCACTAACAGATCCCAGAGGATGTCATTAAACAGATCCCAGAGGATGTCATTAAACAGTTCCCAGGGGATCTCATTAAAAGTTCCCAGAGGATGTCATTAAAGAGTTCTCAGAGGACGTCATTAAACAGATGCCAGAGGATGTCATTAAACAGATCCCAGAGGATGTCAATTAAACAGATCCCAGAGGATGTCATTAAACAGTTCCCAGGGGATCTCATTAAACAGTTCCCAGAGGATGTCATTAAAGAGTTCTCAGAGGATGTCATTAAACAGATGCCAGAGGATCTCATTAAACAGTTCCCAGAGGATGTGATTAAAGAGTTCTCAGAGGATGTCATTAAACAGATGCCAGAGGATGTCATTAAACAGATCCCAGAGGATATCAATTAAACAGATCCCAGAGGATATCAATTAAACAGATCCCAGAGGATGTCATTAAACAGTTCCCAGGGGATCTCATTAAACAGTTCCCAGAGGATGTCATTAAAGAGTTCTCAGAGGATGTCATTAAACAGATGCCAGAGGATGTCATTAAACAGATCCCAGAGGATGTCATTAAACAGATGCCAGAGGATGTCATTAAACAGATGCCAAAGGATGTCATTAAACAGATCCTGGAGAATGTCATTAAACAGATCCCAGAGGATGTCATTAAACAGATCCCAGAGGATGTCATTAAACAGTTCCCAGGGGATCTCATTAAACAGTTCCCAGAGGATGTCATTAAAGAGTTCTCAGAGGATGTCATTAAACAGATGCCACAGGATGTCATTAAACAGATGCCAGAGGATGTCATTAAACAGATGCCAGAGGATGTCATTAAACAGATGCCAGAGGATGTCATTAAACAGATCCCAGAGGATGTCATTAAACAGTTCCCAGGGGATCTCATTAAACAGTTCCCAGAGGATGTCATTAAACAGTTCTCAGAGGATGTCATTAAACAGTTCCCAGGGGATCTCATTAAACTATGTTTGAAAGCAATAGCTGGTTGGTCACTTGGAGGGCATGTGATGAAAACAAACGATTCCAATGTTCCAAAAACACTGCACACATAAAATCTCAGATTAAATCCAAGGCAAATTTATTCAGAGACTTAAAAATGGGGAAGTTTTTTCAATGCAACTGAATGAGAGGAATTAGGATGTTGTTTTGTTGCTTTTTTCAGAGTACTTAAATAATACTATATAGAGAAGGTGCCAAGAGCGATTGCTCAACTGAAATGAGCATCACATGTTTTCTGTGCCACGAGTGTCAAGATATTATTAATGTTCAACGTATTCTCTTTAATAGTAAAATTGGACTGAGAAATTTAAAATGATCCCTAGCAGAAAAAGCTTTCCAAGCTGTGCTTCCCGTGTGCCCACCTGTTGATCGGGCTCTCCGTCCATAAGCTTAAAACAAATGTATAAGATGAAGTCAAGTGAAAACAGCTAACTACACAATCAGATGGTGGACATAAAGCCCAATGTCAGGTTCTGAACAGGGCAAAGTGAAAAAACATGAAGAGGTGTTTGCCCGCGTGCATGCAACATGGCGGCAGAGCTCCAAGGAGTTCTTTCCAACATCTCATTTGCTGCCTCAACTTCTCTGTGGGGTGGAGGGAGTTTAATTTACAACCCTAAACCACTCTCCTCCCATCCCAGAGTGTAGATGGTCACTCTCTTCCCATCCCAGATTGCATATGGCCATCCTCTAAGAGGGATTGCAGTGTCTCGGGGGGGGGGGGGGGGGGGGCAAGGATAGGATTGCTCCAAAGGAATACTCTTTTCAGATTTGTATGATTTAGATCTGCTGGATGCAAACAGTTCATACGTCAAACCCAAAGGCTGATCACATTGTGTGTGGGGATGTGGGTGTGTTGGTGTGTGGGATGGGATATTAAATCAAATATAAACCCAATGACCAAAAACTTTTCAACATGATCTGCTATGTCAGGGATATGGTTCTGACAAGTTGACTCAGGGATATGGTTCTGACAAGTTAACTCAGGGGTGGGTTCTGACAAGTTGACTCAGGGATATGGTTTTGACAAGTTGACTCAGGCATATGGTTTTGACAAGTTAACTCAGGGATATGGTTTTGACAAGTTAACTCAGGGATATGGTTCAGACAAGTTGACTCAGGGATAAGGTTTTGACAAGTTGACTCAGGGATATGGTTCTGACAAGTTGACTCAGGGATATGGTTCAGACAAGTTAACTCAGGGGTGGGTTCTGACAAGTTGACTCAGGGATATGGTTCAGACAAGTTGACTCAGGCATATGGTTCAGACAAGTTGACTCAGGGATATGGTTCAGACAAGTTGACTCAGGGATATGGTTCAGACAAGTTGACTCAGGGATATGGTTCAGACAAGTTGACTCAGGGATATGGTTTTGACAAGTTGACTCAGGCATATGGTTTTGACACGTTGACTCAGGGAATCATGGAAAACTACTTAAAGCTTGGGATTGCATTGAAAGTTTCCATAAAAAAAGACTATTCCAAACAGACTCACTCTTTGTTCTCAGCTGGCTTGCTAGTCCTTTGTCTTCTTCATACAAATCAGGTGGGTCCATGGGGTTCCTGAGGTAAACTCTGAAATTATAGGAATGATCAGCTTCCTCACAGCATAGACACAAAATTAGCCGATGGCCTAAGCTCACTAATTATTGTTATGATCAGCTTCCAAATAACACAAAACATAATGTTGGACTCTAAAGATTGTTTTATTTTATTTTTATTTTTTTTAAGGGAGAAACAACAAAGAGGGGGGGGGGGGCTTTCTGGACATCCAGCTTTTCCCCATTGACCTTGGAGTTATCAAAGTAGGTCATAATCTATCAGCCCAGCTGTGGTGTTCTGGCCTTGGCGTTATTAAAGTAGGTCATAAATCGGGAGCCCCGCTATGGTGTTCTGGTCTGGAGAGATCCAGCAATTAGCTGGCTGCAATTTTAAGTGACTTTTTTTTAAAACTTCAGGATGCCTTGAAGTGCATGAGCAATTTTCTAGACTGAAATGTCATTTTACCCCTTTCAATGACTAAAGAACTGA